TGGTAATTGCATACATAGATTGAATATATCCAGGCGTCTGCCGTTGATTATTGAGAAGAAGGGCGCGTTTCCGACATGAGAATTGGACTATTTACCAGTATAATGTGAGTAGTATGAGAGTCAAACTCACGATGTCGGAAACACGCTGATAAGTTCTCGAAATGACGTCATCACGCCATCTTTGGCATGCTGTTGTTTTGTGATGATCCCTAACGGAGTGTCCGTAGCAGAGTTGAAGCTCTTTTGCCTCTTACAATGAAAGAATCTCCGGTTGACTTGCCATTCAAGATGAAATCTATGCCGCTGTATGCATTTGAAGCGCTGATCTCAAATCCGTCTTTAAAATTTGCTAAACAAATCTCTGAACGGAGGTAGGAAGTTTTTTCGAGCTATGTTGCTCTTAAGCTGCGTTCATACTTTGCGGCAGCGTCCACCAGCGACCGTGAAGGTGTAGATATCGATCTAGCGTCTGCCAGCGTCTGCCAGCGTCCACCAGCGACCGGGAGTAGAGAGTATGGGGAAGTAGGAGGGTAGCAGAACAGCTGGATTAGGCGTCGTGAAATTGCGGCGTGTGCAACTGCACTTGTACAACTACACTACGACTACATTGAAATTGCCTATTCTGTGCTGTAGCAATATGTGCTCGTGCGGTTGCACACGTCGCAAGTCTGTCGTCGAACAATTGTTTGCTACCCTCCTACTTCCCCATACTCTCTACTTCTGGTCGCTGGTGGACGCTGGTAGACTCTGACAGACGCTAAATCGATATCAATACATTCTTAGTCGCTGACTTGCCGGAGGCTCGGAACACTAGTGGACGCTGCCGCAATGTTGAACGCTGATAATTAGTGGCTGAAGTGTTGAGTAAGTAGCTTCGCAGATGTGTCACAGTAAATCTGCTGCTACGATCCATTTCCACCATGCCCATTACCTACAGTCCACATCTGAAGGCAAGTAGAGGCGCGGCTGCGAGAGAGATACGAGGGTCCAGAAGACAGCGAGGCGGAGTCATACGCATAGGAGAAGAGAGCTCACACGGGAATACGCAGCGTCGCCAGGACGCTCCACTATGCTCTGATGAATATTTCTACGCGGAGAGTGTGAAGTACTCCAGGATGAAAATCCTCACAAAGCTGCGTTCATAGTTTGCGGCAGCGTCCACCAGCGTCTGTCAGTGTCCACCAGCGATCACTACCGTTCAATACGTCGCGTAACGTAAGCGTAACAGCGCCAACGAATAGGAATGTATAGACAGCGTCCGGCAGCGTCTACCAGCGTCTACCAGCATCTGCCAGCGTCTCGAGAGCTAGGGCAGTATAGGTATCAATCTAGCAACTGCAGGCGTCTGCTTCTACCAACGTCCACCAACGACCGGGGGTAGAGAGTGTGGGGAAGTAGGAGTGTAGCAAACAGCTGAAGTAGGCGTCGTGAAACTGCGGCGTTTGCACCGCACAACTACTCAGAATTCACAAAAGTGCGGTGTAATGTAGTTGTACGGTGCGGTTGCACTCGCCGCAATCTCACGACACTTAGTCCAGCTGTTTTCTACTCTCCTTCTTCCCCGTACTCTCTATCCGGATCGCTGGTGAACGCTGGTGGAAGCTGGTAGACGCTAGATCGCCACCTATACTTCCCTTGCCCTCGAGACGCAGGTGGACACTGGCAGAAGCTAGCAGACGCTAGTAGACGCTGGTAGACGCTAATCGATATCTGCACTTTCCTAGTCGCTGACGCTGCCGGACGCTCGGAACGCTAGTGGTCGCTGGTGGACGCTGGTAGACGCTGGTGGACGCTGCCGCAAAGTATGAAAGCAGCTCAAGGTAATCCTGGATTGTTCAGCAAAATTCCAAGCTAAATTTGAAATCAGTATTCAAAAACGCGCTCAGCAGTATATATTTCATCTAGAATGGCTACGGCGACCTGTCATTTTTCCATTGTTAGCTGTGTTGAGGTTGACGCTATTTATGGGTCGCTTTGGCGATCACTGTAGTTTCGTTTTCTGCTAACTTCTACATCTGTAATGGCTTTTGTGTTCTCATAGCGTACAACTTCTTACTTTGCTTATGTTTCGATCTATCACTTGAGTCTATGTGATGAACTAGCGAATGCATGTTACCCCTCTTTTCATACTATTAGATAGAGATCGAAAACGATCGATGAAACAATTTTTTATTGCGGTTTTTGTGATCGTCGTTCTGTCATCTATAGCCTAGCTGCAGACTACTTGTAGCACATGCCGTGGTTCTGCCTGCGCGCTTAAGTGAGGCTTTGACATCCCAAACCGAAATATTTCCCCCGCAATTAAGTGGGAATAACAAAAATCAGTATGAGGAGAGGTGTACTGTTCTTTCCATTCAGCTGTTCTGTGGTGTAAGCTGTCACTCCCAAACATCTTTTTTATCATTTTTTACCTGAAAAATGTCACTTTTTCAGGTGGTGTTGCCAGTTTCAAGCCCGGTACTCGAATCGAACATTTGAAAAAGTGAGTTGGTCAACGTATTTTCAAAGCTCGTTCCTTTTTTATCTGGAATTTCGTGGATTTGAAATGGCGTTTTCAGTCTCCCAGATCTTCGTGTGATTTTGGTCAATTCAAAGGTGGAACGAAACACGTCACGGATGGTTCAAACGGTTAAAGAAAGACTGAAAAAGGTAACCCCTCATGCACGTAAATTGTCAAATGCTATATTGGGCACTATTTACCCTTTACTGCCCCAACCATCCAGAATTGAGCCAGTTTTTGACCGACTTTTTTCTCCGTGGACAGATTTGGCTCAAATGTTGTCTCCTGGGTAGTTTGACCTCCTGAATACGAATATCACATTCGCTTAGCCCGAAACTTCCTGGCGCCCGCGCCACAGGCGCCCGTGATTTGGGGTATTTTGGCGCCAACGGCTGTAGCGCGGGCGCTAGGAGGTTTCGGGCCAAGCAAATGTGATATTCGTGTTCAGGAGGTCAGACTACCCTTGGGAGCAAGTTTTCAGCGAATTTGGTGATTTAGGGTATTTTGGCGCCAGCGCCTGTGGCGCGGGCGCCAAGAGGTTTCGTGCCGAGCGGATGTGATATTCGTATTCAGGAGGTCAAAATACCCCAGTAAACAAATTTTCAGCCAATTCTGCCAACGCAGAAAAAAGTCGGTCAAAAACTGGCCTGTTTTCGGAAGATTGGGGCAGTAAAGGGTAAATAGTGCCCTATATTGTCATGATCTTAAATTGTCGCGTACTCTTCAACAGAAAAAAAACAAACGTTCGTCCTCGTTTTTCTGAAATGAAGAATTCCAGTTTCAGTCTCGTTTTCTCTAGAGTCGATTTCAATAATGATTTTGTAATTTATTTTTTCATTCTAATTCCAAACAAAAAAGATCACAAAACGCATAATTCTCTGAGAAGTGCGGCCATGATGCCTGTAAACGATAGGCCTTCTGATAGGGGAATGGCTTGGAGCGTAGCCAGATCCGATTCCACACCTGTAGCGTGCTCAGGATGGCATCATTGGGGAAAAGGACGCCCTTCTTGCGCTGCGATATGCGTCGCGTCACACACCTTATCGCTTGTAGGGAACATGACTGTAACCCTAGAGGTGGCGTTATTAGAGGCAATTGGTACGATAAATGTTTAAGACAAGTAGGATGAGTACGCCTGGCAGGATTTCCGCGCCCCTGAGCAGGCGCTGTGTAGCACCTTCTCCAAGGAAGGTACCCTTATAAGGCCCTATCGAGCTGCAACATACCGACCTGGACGCCCACGCGCCCTACAAACGGACGACCATACATCGCGCTCGCATTCCTTCAAAGCAAAATATGAAGCGAAGGGAAATACTCGTGGAAGGTTACAGGAGCCGTACCAAGGAAAACAAACGGAACACATTGTAGTTGTCGTTGGCATGGTCCCATAATATTCATTCTGCAGCATAGAACACAACGGGGTGGATGAAGTCAGGCACTGAATATCTGATCACAGAGCCTGGACCCTTGTCGAGCTTCCCCGCGAGTCTGACATCCCAGCTGCAACTGCTGCCCGAGTTATGTCCGATAAACGGAGGATGGTCAAGAGGGTGGCGCATGGGTACCCAATTTTCTTATAGAAGCACGAACGCAGTACCGATTCTATACCTCCAGCAGTAATGTTCTCAGCATGAGATGTCACTCACAACTGTGAAAACGCACCCCGGCCTTAGATGAAATATGGGTGGTCTCGGACCTCGAGCCGAAACTCACAATCGTCAATTTTGTATGAATGCAGATGAGAAGCCGCCCGAGTTCTACCATGAAGAGTTACGTGGGCGCAAGTGGATGATCATCATAGCAAAGGATTCCCACACTGTGGCTTTCAAGCGGCTCTATACAGAGAACAAATCCGTCACTGTCGGTGCATATTGCCTGTTCCTCGGCATTCAGATCGACAAATGGATGCTACCACACACAATACCAGAGCCACCTGTTGAGCTCGTCATAGTACCGCAGACCCCCGAGTAACTGTATTGTAGATCAGTGCTGGGACACAAACAATACTGAGACCTGGGTTCAATCGCCCCATTCGCCCGTCATAAAGCCATGCGATTACAACTGTTCTATTCAGTAGAGAGTACTCTCGACGGCAGACGCTACAATGTTTTGTCATTTGCCGAAACTGGCATCAACAGCAACTTACAACACACTTGTTTGAAATAATGGATGGTAACCGAGAGCGGCTCCAAGGTCTCTTCGGGGACTGGCAGCGGGTCATTGGTGAAGGGAGGATTTATTTGAGCTAAGGCTAAAATATTACTTTTTTATCTATTCTCCTCTTTGTTTTATTCAAGTAAAACCGGCGGCACGTTTGATGGGATGGCTAATAGAACTAGTTGAGGACACTCGATCATCAATCAGTCATTATTCCATACATTGGTGAGTCTGAATACTATTTTTCAGTCTATTAACAGGCGGTATGTCCGTCTCGTCTGCCCTTCTTCGATGTCTCGGATCAACCAGACCATTGGCGAAGTACAAGGCATCATTGTACTACCAAGATGAAATGGAACGAATTGAAGATCGCCTACTGGATCTGTACCTTTGATAAATAATACAGCAGCTCTTCTTCGTGCGTTGTTAGTATTCGGACCGTTCTCCAACGCAACTTTTTATAACTTTGTATAAAGAAAGAGCTTTTTCATACTGAAGAATGTAGCCGACCTTCTCACAGTAGTCTGGAAGTTGTTTCCATCGAAGAATCTTCTTCCTTGGAGGGATCTGTTCACTGTAAAGAAGAACGTACACTCAAAATCCCTGAGTTACGGTAGGCGCTGCTGCGAGCTTGAATTGAACTTGGCGCGGCCAATGTTTTCGTGGGATATTTTCATTGCGGTACCATTTATATCACGTGGATCGACCACCGCGCACTTATTTGGGCTTTACTGTAAAATTTGCACTTTATAATTTTATTCCCCACATCCGAATTTAATGATCTTTCCACATATATAATCTACACATATGAGGCGATTATCCGAGTATTTAATTTATGCTCCGCCCCTTGGCCACGGTCCCTTTTAGACATTTTAAACGTTTTTTTGACAAATTAATGGACAAACTTGAAATCCCAATCCTATGCCAGTGCCTCAAATGCCTATGCTACTCGTCTTCAGAGATGAGGGGTGTACAAAGTGAAACACAGATGAAGCATGCGTCCGCAGACAATTTTTGGTTATGACAGACCTCCGCGGGACTGGGACGTTCCCATACATCCCTTGTAATGGCTGTAGCAATTGGTACTGTACAAGGGGTGTCAGGTAAGTTCGATTTGGCGCTGCTCCTGCCCATTCGCCAACCAATTGTTGAGGCGGGCAAGCGACAACAATTGGTGGAATGCGGGTCTGGCGCCGCGCGAAACCCAGCGCCCTGATACGGTCTTAGCGTCTGGCAGGGATTGACTATATTTGCCTATGCGTCCTGCTGAGTGGACTCTGTATTCGATAAAATGCCCACAACAATTAGGCGTAGCATAACTGCACTGCGTTTCCCTAAAAGGGGTCTTATTTGTCGTTGAGGGGAGAAGGCGCGTTTGGTCCATAAGAATATTTCTTACGCCAGTTGATTTTTCTTGTTTCACGGAAGCTGTGGAGGAGGAGGGGGGGGGACGTATTTCCTCGCTGTTGTTCACCTTCTGAGAGAAATTTTGAGAATTTTCTTCCAGTTGTTCACTTTTCGCGGTTTGTCACGTGTGCCTATACCCCCTCTCCACCGTGCGGGAAATTCCGGAAAAACTGTCTACTCTGTCAGAATGTGTGACAGGGGCTCGTAACAAGCCACCCGCTTGGGGGGGGGTGAATCGTACGGATCGACCAAAATCCCTAACTAATGATGTGCCCTGACAACTATACTCTAGCCATAAGTACAATATCTGTAGTTCGAAACAAGCTTTTGAATAAAGAGATTTTTTCTTTTGGATTGATTTTGTACAGCGTTATATTAGAAGTTCTTTATTATCACTTAATAATATAAATTACACTCCGATAAAACGAAGAACTTGCTCTCTATGAATCTATCGCACTAGAAAATCTTTGAAGGGCAAGGATTAATTCAATTACGAACAAACCAATAACCAGTCGATCAGTACAAATAAAAAAACATTAACGAAGGAACTGGGCAATACCTATGGGACTTCCTTTTCAACTGAAAAATCTCATCTGGCGAGTAAGTAACATATAAAACAGCAGCAAAGAAAAAATATTACATTGAACTGGTAATGGCGATGTCTTAGAAAAAGAAATCGACATTGATCAATCGACTTCTGGCATCGATCGATATAGAAAATTGGGAACGGAACGAAAACGAGGCAAAAAAATAACGGAAGTGATGTCTATGTGAACGTGGGAGAGCGAATGTGGGAACCAGAACGTCACTTGGGACGGTACCTGGCACTAAGGGCTGCTCAGGGAAGGATTCCAACTGCTTGCGGGGATTTTCATTTAGGGGTCAGTTCTAGGACGTTCCTCAACGGTCGCTCTCCCAAGTGGGGAAGACATGAGCCCACACTAAACTTTTCACTATACTACTGGTATTGCCAAAAAGAATAGACCAAGGAAGACGCGCTGAGAAATTCACTCCCAAACAATAAATAAATATGCGCACAAAATCAATCATTGCAATGTCACACAAAATTGGAAGACATGAATTGAAATTTCCCCGGCTGGAACGCAAATAGAGAGGAAATGGATGAGTGATCACGATCAGCAGCAGTACTATGAGAGCTGATCATGACTGCAGCACACAAAATTGTACGAGAAGTTACAACAGCACGACATGGGAACGAGTAAGATAACTACCGGGGAGAAACACATCAATTGGTGAGCTGGATGTCGAATATGAGGGGGCGGACTCTAAGTGATCCACTACTTATGCTTAGACGCAGGCGTCGAACAAGTTGTCGACGGCGTTGGCGTCAGAAATAGATCCGGTCGCCTTTGGTGCTCAATGACTCCAGGGCCACCCAAAGGCGGTTGCCATACCTCGTAGCCAAGCTTTATCAATTCGCCGCTGATCATATCCAGTAACGTTTGCGGTGTATCTGAAACCACTTTCATAAATAAAAGCGAGGGTAAATGTAAATAATAAACCAAAAGTGATAAACAATTCGACACTATTCAACTATTACAGCCCCAAACTTCGCCAAAAGGGCAATTTTGACCTCATCTTTCTTTATAAGGGGACAGATTCTGCTAACATTTCCGTTCTGGGGTTGTTCGACCCTGGCCGCAGGCGGCGAAATAGCCTCTGACGCCAACGAGTTTGCGCTTGAAAACTTGGCTCCAGGGGTAGTTCACGCTCTGGAACATTAAATATCCATCGCTGACCAGAAACAGCATGGCGCCGCGCGCACAGACGTGGGCTCGCGTCAAATATACTCTATGTCAGTAAGTGGATGAAACTCGAACACGGGGGTTACTTGACATTCTGGTTACAAGTATGACATTAAAGGCATATAGCACGATAATTTGGTATTCGGTCTGAAATGCTGGCAGGGTGTGGAGAATTGGCAAAAAAAACGAAGTGAAACGATCAAAAACCTGAAGAAGGAAAGGACTTCGTTCTTAATGACTCAAAAAGCGATTTCGGACGAGTTCCTCGTAGGCATCCTGCCAATAAACGGTGGGTACGGCTGCATGTATGTACTCATATATCCATGCAGCAACGCGGCCGCTTCATATCAGTCCTTCGCTCTCATCTGTTTACTTGGAATGAAGCGTAGAACAGGCTGGCAAGCAGCGGTCGTCCATTTTCTTGAGCGGCGGCGCGATGGGTGTACGGCTTCGGTCATGTTGCAGCTTGAAGGTCCTAAGGATACCTTCCTTGGGAAAGGCGCTACGCAGCGCCAGCTCAGGGACACGGAATTCCGTGCCGGCGAGCGCACCAATTCTACTCAATTTAGGGATTTATCGTGCCAACTGTCTTTAATTCTGGGTGCTAGCGCTAATGGAGGACACTGCGATCATATGCGATCTGGGCCTGCCTGGCCTAAAAGGGTCACTTTTTTCCCAGGATCAGCCCTAGAAGAGCGCTAAATGGCGCTGCTGTCGAGAAAAAATGAATGCTTATATTCGTGCAATGCTTGCTAAGGTCAAGAATGCTAAAAAATCAGGGCCTCATGGCGTCAAATGCCGGCCTGGCTCAAACTAAATGGGGCATGCTCGTGATCGCGATTACCGAAACACCCACTGTGCACTAAATGCGCTAGCGTCGAAAACCGAAGTTTCATACTCGTGATAATGTCAGGACATCGAATACCTCAATTTATCAAAAAAAACTTTTGAGTTCTTGGGGTAGTAATTCGTTGAATTATGCCAGCAATTCTAAAGGATAATCGACACTCATATCTAAACTGACCTGGTTTAAGAAAAGCGAATACAGATCCGCCACCACCAGCACCGGTCATTTTTGGATGGATACCATATCTAGCGAGGGTAGTGCAGATTTGATCCACTTTGGGATGGCCGACACCCAATCCAATCAGTAGCTGATTATTTATTCGACAGAGATCCTGAACAAAGAGCGATAGTAGTTCTTATCTCCCAGTCACATCTTTACAGCTGATATCGCCGCTTTCAGTCGGGGCTGTTTCAGGAAGGACGTAATGACCCCCCCCCCCATCCGCGGCGTTTCCACAGCTGGGTGCTTTTCTTTCTGAATCGAATCGCAGACCGATCACCATTGGCAGAGCAAGGCAGCCGGAGGTGGGCTCGCTCCACCCCTCTTGACACCGCCCCGACTAATTGCGACGTTATCAACTATAGCTAGATCAGTTCTATGTCATTAAAGCCCTACAGCACTTCAACGGAACGTAAGCACAACTAAAAGCAAACAGAAGTACGCTAGGGTTAACACCGCTTCACTCGAAGTATTAGCTGCTTCCTCATCTAGAATACTTTTCCAAAATTGTTCTCATCTAAAAAGCAAGGACGCTTCGAGTAGCATTTGTGAGCAGCACCTTCTACACTGCTGATTTCTAACACTATTAGGTTTTCTAGGCTACTTTGAGGCGCTAAATTTCCTAAGAAGATTTAATGGATCGCTGTGCAGAGGGTGGCGCATTAACGTCTACTGTGTTTCGCCGATTCCACAAAGCAAACGGAGAAACGACATTGACGGAAGGTCTTTATGAAGACAGGACGCCGCGTGCGACCATACGACGTCGCGCGCGCAACAACCACTTACGTTAAGCTTGCTGAACGTGTCGACGAGTTCTCCTTTGTCTGATGTTGCGGAAACGGCAGAAGCCGAACTGCCACGCTTGCCGCCGGCCACATACGAGGAGAACGTCGACGAACGAACGCTTCCG